GAGTTCAACATGGAAATGTTCTCCTCCGAGACTGGTAGATGGACAGAGTCAGTTGTATCCTGCCCAAGAAGCTTTTGTTTTAATAGCTTGCATAGAAATGCAGGGGTTGCGCACAATGGAATGCTCTACTGGTGGAGCTCTAGTGATGGCTTTGTTATTGGTTTGGATCCCTACTCCAACGACAGCTCCAATTCGGCTAAATATTGTTTCCATTTCATTGATGAACCTCAAGATGAGTCGGAGTATGGAAGAACATTTGATTTATTGGGTGTGTCTAGTAAAGGGCGTTTGCGAATGTGCCAGTACTCCCCTGCGTATGTTGGTGATACCGATGGTCATCTGAGTGTTTGGGAGTTGAAAGATGACCACCAGATGGACAAGGACAAGGACATGGACACGGACGACGCTGCATCTGCATGCAATGACAATGGCAGATGGTGTTTGGTAGGCAGAGTTACCCTGTTACATATGCTTTCGGAAACCCAGCTTATGCTAGCATGGAAATATCATAGCAAATGGCTTAACACGGTTATGGTGCTCGCTTTCCACCCAGATGATGATGATATCTTGTTTTTAGAGTTTTCTCAACACTTCATCACGTGCAACATTCGCGAAGCAAGGCTAACGGAGGTTGCGAACATCCCGTGTTATTATGGTAAGATTCACTCCGCTAGACCTGTCTTCCCATTGGTGTTCCCTTGGTGGCCGACACCAATACTTACTCGACACAAACTGGCGGCCTCCTCCTCCTCCTTGAATTCCCACGTGGGCCGTGTTACCACTTATACTACTAGTACTACTAGTACTACTAGAACCAGACGAGCCATCAAGAGAATGTTGCAAAAAAGAAACGAAAAGCTGGCCATTGCTTGTGCGTCCTCAATCCTCCCCCGAAAAACAAAGCTAGCGCACTCCATGCATGCAAGGCAGCTAGCAACTAATTCGAAAGGTTTCGAAGCTAGCCGATGAGGCAAGAGAAAAAAAGTTGCACCTTCCCTAATTTGGTCTGAAGTTGATGTTATCTTTATATTTCATTATGTAACTGTTAATATTATGTACGTTCCATTCGGATTGCTACTAGTTAGGCTAGTTTGATACTTGATTGCCACTTGTATGTAAGTGTGTGTTCTCATCTTGATTAGATTTATGTTATGTTAGTACGTGTATAGTATACTCGATTTTTATAATGGAGGACGCAATGAAAACCAATTCTAATAATTCAATAACAGAGATTTGGCTAATATTAGAAACTCAAACAATAGATAAAGTAATAATTTCATGATGCTCACTCAGCATGGGAGATTCGTATCTTAGTCCACCACTCCACTCCACAGTAATTGACCAAAACAACATACGACTTTCATGTTGCACTTGGATTAGGAAGATGCCCCTGTTATTTATCAAAATCAATGGTGAGACTGTGTATCTCATCCACGAGTCCAACAACTATGACGGATTGATCTGCTGCTTCGCGTAATTCCTCAACGAAACTATTTGAATGCGAAAAACATCACTTGTTCTTTATTGTCAAAGATCTAGCTTCTGGTTGTTAAATTGTCAGATGCCTCTAATGCGACTTGAATCCCTCCTCCCTCCTCCCAAATGAAACGCCTCTCCCAGTCAGTCTGATATCAACAATGCCCTGATGCGCTAGCTGACTTGTTTAGGAAGCAAAATATTCAAACGCACGAGTAAAACTGAGAATCAAAATCTGTTTATGTCCGATTCAACCCAGCCAGCCACTGGGAGCTGTATGCTGCTGTTTGCTCTCATCCCAATCCCAAAGGACCAAATTGTCCAAGATGTTCCTATCTTCAAACAAGAAATCATCCACAAATTGGCACCTCAACAAGACATATCACTAACTGTTTAACTTGTCTTATCATTCTAGTATAATGGTAACTAAGATGATAATTTTCTTGCTACTTAAGTCAACTAACATTATAGAATACAGAACTAAGAAGCACTAAACTTTAAGCAATTAACTTGATGAATATTTGCTAGTAGTGCATGCACACACTATCAATGTTAACTGTATGTGATAAGAGCCTCAGACTTGCAACATGGTATGTGTGACTAAATGAGAGGAAGAGGGACGGAGAGAGATTACCATGTATTTTGTAAGCTTCAAAGGGGTGAGCACAATAGGCTTCAATCTTCAAAACGTGAGAACGAAAGGCGGGGCATCCCTTCTTGGCCCAGCAACAGAACGGTAAACATAGACTTTGTCAGCTTGATTTTCATCATTCCCATCATCCTTCATTACCTCAACATTCAATCTTGGCCTCTCACTTGCCAATGAGTGACACGCGTTCATTGTCACATTGCAGGCTGACATCCAAACTGACCTCATAAATTCATACTTCTCTAAACCTGAGAGCAAAGCCACATCCCCAAATGGGCAGTCCCGTATCTCAAGTTTCTTGAGCTTGGGACAACCATCCAGCACACACTGCATCCCCCAATCACTTTCTCCAGCAAAGGCTATTGAAAGGTATTCCAAATTTTGGGCATGTTTCCCAATGTATTCAAATGTAAGGTCGGTCAATAAACCTGAAACTGAAAGCCTCTGTAGTTTAGAGCACGTCTTCACCACTGCCCCAAAAGCCTCATCCATAGGCTCTTTTGTTAGGTAATCGGGTTGCCTTGGGTTCATTATGCAGAGACGAAAGTGGGTGATATCAGGGCAATTTTGTGCAACGGTTGCTATAGCAGCATTAGTCATCTGCCAACAAAAGTAGAGGACATAGCAGAGTCTTCGGCAGCCATAAGACAGAGCAACAAACCCAGATTCAGTCACCCCATCGATAATATCATCACCGTCAGGAGCAGAAGGGAAAACACGGAGTTCCTCAAGCAAAGGACAGTTAGATCCAACAGCCTCCAACCCTTTGTCTTCCACTGTGTCCAGGACCTGTATCAAAAATTTGATATCAAGAGTTAGCACCTGAGGATTTCAATAGTCAACATATCCTCTCATTCAACAGTTGTAGATGTACTTGCAGTGTTTAGAAAAATAAATAAGCCAATCAAAGAGAGGATTAAGTTATTATTTCATCAGTGTGGTCAAAAGTAACGATTTCAAAACCCCAATTATGTACCATGTCATTATTGTAAAGATTATAGTGTGTTTCCTTCTCATCTACCTTGATAGATTAGCATTTTCAAAATGAAGAAGCTATTATGTAGAAAAGGAAATAAATGGGAAATTTACTTACCCAAAGGCGCCGGAGGAGTGGGCAATGAGCAACAAGCTTAGCAAGGTCCCAACTTTGCAAAGTAGCATAACTCAAATTCAAGAAAGTGAGATTTGCACAGGCAGGATACAGAACTGGGAGATAAAGGGCCGTTGCTTCCCATAAGCCAGAGAGGGTGTGCAAATTCTTACAGTTGCTAAATGCTCTTTCAAGTTGTGAATGCTGAGAAGCTGTGAGCTCTTGCAAAAATGAGCCGGTGCCAAGCTCCAAAAGTTGAGGAGCATGGGTAAGAAGACTTTGTAGTTGTTCCAAGGTTACACTTTTATTAACCTTTAGCACCTTGAATGATTTGCACCTACTTACAAGTCTCTCAAGAGCATCAAAATCAACGTTGCTATTGAGGCTGGCAAAGTTTAGTATTTCCAATGATGTGAAGGTTTCAGGGAAGCAACTTAACCAGTCCCCACTTTTATCATCAATGTCATTCTCCTGTATGTCGAGCTCAATCAAATTCCTGTAACCAAATGATTTTGTTCAGAAAGTTATAAATCAGGGATGAATTCTTTTCTTCAACCATTACTCCCTCTCTCTCTGAGATCTCATCTCTGGAACCCAAAAACCAATCGAAAAACACTTAACAATCAAAACTCAAAAACTGGAAAAGGGTCCAAACCCAGAAAGACACTTACTTGCAGTGAGTGGCAATGGCTTCAAGGCCATCAGTGCTGAACCCATCACAGCTGAGAAGCGAGAGAGCTTTGAACTCGGGAAACGAAACAGCCAAAAGCTCAAGCCTCTCATCAGTCACCGTCATCCTCTTCAGCCT